CTGAATTAAAAAACAATTAAGACACTTTAATGAATATATAGTTATGTGAATGACCAATTTGTTAAACTCAGTGTAGAACCAAGAATTTGCTAAGGATAGTGTCTGAGTTAACAGATAACATACTGCTGGGCTTGGTGGCTCAGCCTGTAATCTGGCGCTTTGGGAGGCCGAGGTGAATTAATTGCCTGAGTCCGCGGGTTCGAGACCCGCCTGGACAACTTAGTGAGTCCTCATCTCTACAATAAATACAAAAAATTAGCTGGGCGTGGTAGCATGTGCCTCTAGTTCCAGTTACTTGGAAGGCTGAGGCAGACAGATCGTCGGAGCCCAGCAGGTCAAGGCTGCGGTAGCTGGGAGTGTGCCACTGCACTCCAGTCTGGGTAACAGAGTGAGACTCCAACTCAAAACAAAAACAAAAACAAAAACAAAACAGATAACATGCAGAGTTTGGAAAGGTGTTTATCATTGGGGGAAATATTTAGACAATCTCAGTATTCAGTATATGATTGTACATAAGTGAGATTCCAGTGTCCACAAAACTCATAAAATGACTTTTATGGTAATAAAAGTATTTTGTTTGGTTTTTAGAGTACTACATTACTTTTTTCTATTATAAAATTAACTTATGCCCAGTAAGAATGTGGAAAAATTAAGAACAGTCCTACCACCCAAACCCAACCTTATTTCCTTTCCAGTCACTTCTCCATGCACAAGTTTTAAAGATATATAGTTACAGTCATATTATGTATGATAGTAGCCATTATTTCAAAGGGTTGCATATGTAATACATCACAGAGCAGAGTATATAAGTTTTGGTTGAATTTCCACTTCTCTATTTTTGGAAAATTATGGAGTTTAGAATGTTTTTCCCCCTTTATGGTATGTTTTGTAATTATGGTTTATTTTCTCCATTATAGTATACATTAACATGGCACAAATTAAGATTAAAATCTTTTTTTTACAAATTTTTATCATTTTTGATAGACAAATCATAATTGTATCCATTTATAAAAATTAGAATCTTCATTTTTTAAGAGCACTTTTTGTATTATTCCAATGGCCAAGATATAGAAACAACATAAGTATCTAACAATAGATGAATGGATAAAGAAATTGTGCTATGTATATATAATGGAATTATTATTTAGCCTTAAAAAAGGAGGAAATTCTGCCATTTTGTGACATTGTGTATAAACCTGGAAGACATTATGCTAAGTGAAATAAGCCAAACACAGAAAGACAAATACTGCATGATCTTACTTATATGAGGGGGGTCCCCCCAAAAAAATTTCTTCTTCTTCTTCTTTTTTTTTGAGTTGAAGTCTCACTCTGTTGCCCAGGCTGAAGTGCAGTGGCACACTCATGGCCACCGCAGCCTCAACCTGCTGGGCTCAGATGATTCTTCCACCTCAGCCTTCTAAGTAGCTGGAACTACAAACATGTGGTGCTACACCTGGCTTATTTTTTGATTTATTGTAGAGATGAGGTCTTACCAAGTTGCCCAGGCTTGGTCTTGAACCCCTGAGCACAGGCAATCCTCTCGCCTCAGTCACCGAAAGTGCTGGGATTACAGGCTTGAGCCACTGCGCCTGGCCCTATTTATTCTTACATGTCTAAACTTCAGTCACCTTCAAAGTACTCTTTGATGCAATACATCTATCAAGATGCTTTTTCCACAGCTCAAAATAGTTTTTTAACTCGTCAATTTTCATGCCTTTTAGTGCTTCTGCTGTTCTTTGTTTCACCTCTTCCACATCGGCAAAATGTTTCCCTTTGAGGACTTTTTTCATCTGGGGAAACAAAGTCTCTCAAGGTGAGATTGGGTGAATAGGGAGGGTAGGGCACAGGGCTCATGCTGCTTTTGGTTAAAAACTGCTGAACATGCAGCGTGGTGTGGGCAGGTACACTTGTAAATCATCTATCATGAAACGGGAAAACATGTTGAAAGACTCTCCAAAAAAAAATTCACCGAAGCTGAACACAGCCTGTTATAACAATGCTAGCTGGTATGCTGATGCTGATGGGTTCCTCGAACATTTATCTAGCAGGGAAAGGCGCCCATCCTCCAAAAGATAATCCTGGGGCTTTTTTGGGTCCCCTCATACACGTGAAATCTAAAGAAGTCAAACTCATAGGATCAGAGAATAGAACAGTGGTTGCCAGGAGTCGGGGATGGAGGAGACAAGAAGGTGGGGGAAATGGGGAGATACTGGTCAAAGGGTACACACTTGAAGTTATAGGATATATGAATTCTGGACATCTAAAGTACAACATAGTGATTATAGCTGGTAATAATGCAGTGTACAGGCTGGAGTGCAGTGGCATGATCCCGGCTCACTGCAGCCTTCTAGTCTCTAGGTGAGCCTCTCACCTCAACCTCTCAAGTAGCTGGGACTATAGGCACACACCACCACACCCGACTAATTTTTGTATTTTTTGTAGAGATGAGGTCTCAATATGTTACCCAGACTGGTCTCAAACTCCTGGGCTCAAGTGATCCTCCTACCTTGGCCTCCCAAAGTGCTAGAATTACAGATGTGAGCGCCCACACCTGCCAAATCTACATACAGTTTTAAAAATACCACTTCATATATTTTCTGCAAGTACTTTTCCTAGTCTATTTCTAGTCTTTACATTTTGGCTCTTTGTATTTAGTTGATGTTTCTGATTTGCCTGTGGTCAAATGTACCTTTATTTTCCTTTGTGTTTTCAGGTGAACATTGTGTGTGTGTGTGTGTGTGTGTGTGTGTGTGTGTATGTTTGTGTAGAT